TAGAATATATAAAATAAAAATAAAATAATTAAATAATTTAAAAATTAAAAGAATAAAATATCATAAATATTATTTAAATAAATTATTAAAAATATAAAATATAAAAAACTGTACCGATACTCTTTTAAATAAGATGGGTACCATATCCCATTTCTCTATTTACGTATGTCATATTACATCTCCATCTCATAACTTCATATAAGACAGAAAACTAATGACAATGTTAAATTTGGAAAGTTATTATTTTCTTTTATCTATTTATGAATTCTTTTTTATCTATGTAAAACAACTTAAAAAAAAGTGTAATATTAACTTTAGTATTTCTGTCTTGAAGAAGCAACCAAGCAGGTATATGTACCAGTCCTTTAAATAATAGTAGTAGCATTTAATAAATTGGTTAAAATATGGATAAACATAACATAACATTTTTTTTCTTCAAATTTTATAGCGCTAAGCACCATTCCTTCTTCAAGCAACGAAATTAAAAAAAATTAAAATTTCTCTTGTCACGTAGGATCACTCCAATAAAAAATTCTTGTAAGTATTATTGCTTATTTTAGGGTTTAAGAACAAATTTTTATGTTTTCTTTTTCTTTTATTTCCTTTTATGTGTAAATTTTTGTGTCTCTTATTTACGTTAACAACAAAATTTAGAGCAAATTATACTAATAAACCCTAAATTTCTATATTTATTTGAGAAATTCTACGGTTCTCATATTGTTTGAGAAGGTACCAGTACAGTTATAATTATAATTTTATTTTATATTTTATATTAGGCTGCCGTGTACGGACTGGACGGTTCGGTCATTTGCCGCTCCGACTAGTATTGATTAGACGGCTCGGCCTCTTGCCGAAGGGTTAGGCGAGTCATAACAAGTAATCACAGTCAAGAAAGGTAAGTACATGATTAAAGCCTAAACGACCAATTAGTACCGTATTACCTAATTTGGTAAACATCTGATAGGGCCCATCACGCTCAGGCCCATGTCAGATGCTATAAATAGGTCTCACGTAACAAGGTATGTCACTGTTCATTTTTAACCTAGATACTCGTGCATATACTAACTTGAGCGTCGGAGTACCTTTTGCAGGT